AATATTGTTTTAAAAATTGGCCAAAATATGTGCATTACAAAGGACACAAAGACAGATCTTAAGCCAAGATACTAGAATAAAGGTTAGAAATAAAATTTCCAAATAAGAATAAATTTCTTACATAACTACTCTACTTACATAGCGTGTGCAAATAAAACCTTAAATTTGTGTTCAGAGTGTTTATTTCAAATAACAATTTTCACCATTAAAAATAGAATAAAATCAAGAGTCAAAATAAAATGGAGAATAGCTTCTGCATAAAACATGCAAATAAAGATAACTTTTACCAATAAACACTCTTAAAAATACATGATTTTTGCAGAAGCCATATGAAACTATTATCTGGCTCAATGTATAAATAAGGTATAGAACTCCTCCCCTCTCCCTTCATGGTTAATTCCAACTATTTTGAAGCATCATTCTCTTATCATTACAAATGAACCTCCAAGTATTTGTATCCTTGAAGATTTTAAAGTAAGGAAAGTCTTTTCTATGAAAATACAGTTTTATATTTTTGCCCTATTATTGCTTAACCCAAAATATAATAAAGAAACACAACAACTCACCTGAAAATATTGCTGAGTATCCAGGAACTCTCATAATTCAAGTTACCTAATTCTTCTTTTGCACACTGTGCGATCTAATTCTGTTGCCATGGCCAAGGTATTTTATGTTTGTGGTATTATACTAATAGAACACACCCTGAAATTTATAAAATCGACAAAATTCTTCTAATGTGGTATTATTTTCTGTGGACATGGACTCTTTCGATAGTTTGAAGTTCCGTGTTTGCAATCATATTAAGGATTTCCAAGATATAAAATCGTGTCGTACATTTCTTGTAGTTTATGAGGTATCAAAAAAAAATTAGAGCCTTTGTTCTGAGAAACAGTGAGGTAAGTAGGGGTTAAGCACATTCACCACCAAGCAAGAAGCAGCATGGGCAGACCACCATATTCCATAATAATAAAAAAAAAAGTACCACCGTAAAAATTTAATCTCAGAGTATTGCTGGGAGTGGCTGAAGATAGAATTCCAGTGTTGCACATTTCTTCATGCACTTTAATGCTTTCAAGTATTACCACCAGGACTTTCCATTCATGGCACAAGGGATTCATGGGATGCTTTCTCCTGGCATACTTAGGATGGAGAAGGAAGGAGAAAAGTTTGGATACATTCATTTCTTCCTCTATTTAGGTAACCTTTTAAAGCTTTCAACAAAAAATCATATCCTCAAGAAATCTGAAAAGAAACATGTTCTTCTTTTTCTTTTTCTTTAACTCTCTGAGAAAGACAAAATCTATGAGGAAAAACAAAATGAACAAAACTGCCGTATTTTATGAAAGATTTATATACAGTATTCATTCTGCTGACAAAAGGGCAAGTGTAGAATCATACACTTTTGTTTTACCATAAACAAAATTAGATTTTCAGGATCACATGTTCATTACTTAAATTCCCACAAATAAAAATTTGTTCATGGAAAAATAGAGATATTTTGAATACTAAAGTCCTTTATTCAACAACACAGAAATTTCACAAAAACAACTTTACTGGGCAAATCGAATGTGGTTTTTTTTTGTAGGTTTTTTTTTTTTTTTTTTACAGTTTTGTACATGCCCCATAAGTAATTTTCTTTAATAAATACACTGTTTTCCAAAACTGCTTTTTTTTTATAATTGCACAAGCATACATACACCTTACACAAATATCTATTAGAAAATTTAATAGATGACTGCACAGTTCAGAAGAGGGGAACACTGAAAGGAGTACATTTTGTGGCCCACGTTCCTGAAATCTCAGACTTTCTTGCCATTGTGAAAATGGAATCCCTCTGAACATAGTAGCTGTCTTTTATTCACTAGGAATACAGATCTCAGTGTGAAACTGCCAAATTTAATAAAAACAAAATCTGAAACATTTAGCTGTTACATGAGAACCAACTGTTTGATATCACTGTGAATCTAACCATGATCAAAGACCCACCACGGCTTTTTGCTGAACATATTTGACCCTGAAGAGTGTGTTCATTTAACTGCTTTCCCTTTTTCATTATTTGATTACAGATACTATCGGCTTAAAGACTTTGTAAGCTTTAGTATTAATTGTACAACTTACATGCCAGGGGTTCTAAATGAAAGGAAGGGGATAGTCCTTTCTTCATTGATTTCTTAATAGGAATTCATAGGAAGCCCACCAGCTCTTGCTCCCTATCAATGTGCTTAGAAGGAAGCTGGGTATTGGGGATTAAGCAAACAGGAGTTGTTCTTATACACTCTTACACTGGAGGAAGACTATTACTGTTTTCTCTCCTAAAGATGGATACATTTCACACTTGTAAATATGCTTCCACTTGTGTACAGACAGGCAAAATCCATCAGAAAGTCACATTGGTCTGAAGGCCTGGAAAGAGGGAAGTTTGCATGATGATGCTCTTGGAAAGTTTAGGGTGCTGAGTGACAGCTGACAAGGAAATCAGTTGACTGTACTATGTACCAACATCCTATGTGTTTTCCAGCTCTCCCCAAATGCTTACCGAATGTGCATCTTCTTACCTACTTACTTCCTAGGGAAGGTAAGACTTCTGTGTATGTAGATCTCTCTTACAAAGTTTTTAATTTGACTATTCCGATATGTAATTTTTAAGTTCTATAGTCTGCCACGATCTATATTCTGACTGCTATGTTCCAAATTTTCTTGGTACTGAATATGAAACATACAGTAAAGTATTTTCGAAAGTTACATTGGTATTTCAGAATCATGAAAAATGTAAACTTTTAAATCACTCCCTTAGGGTTATAGTGATATGCTCTATAAGTTCTCAGTATATGGACTTAAAGGGAAAAGAACCAGAGGGAGGCTGGAGGAGTAACATCTTTCTTCAAGTATCACCAATGAGAATTTTATGTGCACCCTACATCATATAAATAGAGTTTTACCAAAAACATTAAAAAAGCGTGGTGTAAAAGAACAATATCAAGAATAAAAGCATGTAAGAGAATTAAAGAAAAGCTGTACTTTTCCATTTCCATAATCAACAGATTTTTTTTCATTAAAAATTGAATTGACATGTAAAACACCACATTTTACAATATACAGATTCATTAGTTCTTTAAGAAAACAAACAAAAACACATCGAGACATGCAATCCTCGCATGTATTTTAGACTCTCAGGACATTGCTGTGAGATCTTTATCCGTTATTTTATGACTAACACAGCCCGAACGCATGTTTGCTTCAATCCTGTAATAACAATCATCATTTTCCAAATAGCAAAGGCAAACTTACCATTCAAGTGTGGAAGTAAGTTTTCACTTACTTGTAATTAATTAGCAAATTGGTTTAAAAAAGTAACTAAAGTCAAATAAAAGTGGACAAGAAAGAGTTTCTACAGTTCTCATTGGTCCCACAGCAGAAACACAAATTCTAACTAGAAACCCTCAAAGGGATGTACATCAAGCAGAAAGCTATCTCAAAATTAACATACATTTTAAGCACATTTTAGCTTGTGATTATTTAGTTTTCTTCTTTAAACATGGATAAGTGTAATATATAATAAATTTTCCTTAAAAAGGCCATTTGACCATAAGTAGAGACCTTGTGTTCATATTCTAGGCAGGTTTAGTCTCTTGTTTTTCACATTGCCATTTGCAAGTGATACCTTCTCCACCCCTCCCGCCTGTGCTCTGATGAGGCTGTGTTTTTAAAAATCTCCTGTGATATTACTTCCCATTCATAACTACAACTAGCTTTTTAAAATTATTAATCTGCTAGTCTTTCTAAAATTTTACAGTCCTTCTCATCACCCTTTCTCCTCTCAAGTTATTTTCCTCTGTGCGATCCATCTCGCTAACATCTTTCAGCAGGCTAGTGGATGTCATAGGCTGAAGTAACTGGCTAGTGGATAAACGACAAAAGTTACAGTAACATGGCAACTTCGATCCTCCATGTGTTTTCCCTTAACTCTATTTTACTCCTGAAGATGAGAATAGTCTTTACAGTCTGGCAAGAAACAGAAAATGAAATAAACTTCCTTGGTATAATGTCATCACAAATAACACATCTGTCTTATTGGGACAGACTTAGGAATCTTGACTGCCTTAAGAAAACCAAATCCTACATGAAAAGGTAGCACAGATCCTAAGAAGCATTAGCTTCTTTGTGTTTGGGGCTTGTTTGCATTTATGGAATTCCACAGAATGTGGCCCTACCTTCTCTGCAATGAAAGCATCAAGTGACAAAAACGGGGATAGGAGCAATGGAACATTTCACTGAGGGCCTAGGGGGAGGCCATTGATCCAACTGGGAGGCTATGAGAAAGGAAGATAAAAAGAGATTTAAAAGCCTCACTTCTATGAATGTGGTTAATTTTTTTAACTTAAGAATCTATCTAGCCATGCCTCAATGCAGGAGGTCGTTATGTATTCAAGTTTTAAAACAAACTACCCATTTCATTTCATACACGGAATTAAAATATTTGGATACCTTTATCAAAAGTTTTTTTCCTACCAAGAAAAAAAAAGAGAGAGCAAAATTTAAACAACACAAAAATACATACACCCCATGTTGGGCTGAGAAAAAAAGTCAATCGTGAATTTCTCCCCTAAGATATGATACTTTTCTCTGTATCCTAGAAATCACTGATTTAAAAAAAAAAGTTATACAACTGATTCTGCATGTTTCAACTACTGTGAGTACTCCGCCTTACAGTGCAACCCAAGACAAGTCAACTACACTAAGTATTTGGGAGGTATACCCTTCTGTACAGCTCGTTTGTAAGCAATGCAAGTGCATAACCACTACTCTAATATAGTGCTCAAAAGATTAATTGAAACTTTCATAACATCTTCCCCCTCTTATTACAATACAACTGAAGGTAATTGCTGGATGCATCATAATCTTTTAGTCTTGTAAAACTTGGCATCAAGTCTCTACGGAAAGATGCATGGCAAAACATGCCACTGCTGTTGCTGCTTCTAGAAACAACTGGCAAAAAATATTTAAAGCTAAAATTTATTGCTCCAGATTTAACTCGCAGAACCATACTGTTGTGTACAAACTGTTAATCTCCATAGATGCTCAGACATGATTGTCTCCTTGTGTCTAAACACACAAAATACAAGCTGCTATCTGTACAGTTTACAGTACTGAAACACATATATTTGAAAATGAAGTATAGATATGTACTTTGCAAAGATACATGATTTTACAGCAGGGGTTTACCCAAACTTATTTTTTACAGCCACTTTCAAAATAGACAACAACTTCACTAGTATAGCTAAATTACATCAAAGAAAGAATCAGTGTATTGAAAGTAAATAGACTGGCCAATTCCCCAAACTCCCAGATTATTTTTATATGTCTTTTTTCTTTTCTTTTCCTTTTTTTTTTTTTGAAGAAACCCCTATACATAAAAAGAAAATAATATCTGGATATTTTCTTCAGTGGTGGACTAAGCAGTTTCTTAAAACAAGACATTAGTTTGCCCTTCACTTCCAAATGCCTTGAAAATAAGATATACTACTGCTTTAAAAGAACCATCGGAATGCTTCAGCGCTGGGAACAGGTGTTCTCTATAAAAAAAGAGCAAGAAAACAAGTTAAGCTTTCTTTCTATGCCAATATAAAATTAGATTTTTCTCCTTTACACTTCAGCAATATTTTTAGTCAGCAATACACAACATAACGACTGGTATGTTTCAACATTTAATAATAATGTTCAATCTTAGAACATTACAAAAATTAGAATGTTGAAAATAATGCTAATTTATGGAATATAATGATTAAAACACATTAGTCTAAAAAATACCAGAGACACAGCCTACAACATGGATAGCCATCAGAACAAAGGGGAAGGTTGAAGCTGTTAACCAATAGTAGGAAGTCCCGCCAGAAAATCTGTAGCTGCTGCATACATATGCATCTCTTTGTAAGGCTGATGTTTAGAGAATTCAGTGAAGTAGTTTCTTTATTCTGGGGGATTTCTTTTATGACAGGACAATAACAAATATTACATCGATATTACTTCTATCATTTGACAACTATGTACCACTATTTTAAAATCTGCATTTTCAACACGTTAATGTCATATGTATGAAACAAACTTACACTAGCCAATGACACTCAATGGAGCTTAACTTTTATACCATAAAAATATTATAGGTTTTCAAAGAATAAGTTAGCACCAAAATGAGCAATCCTTTGAACAAAAAGGTTAAAGTCACTCTGGGACGTTTTTTGGCAGAAAAACGGTCTAGTATTGAATTTTCTTCCATATATTAACATGTCAGTAATTCATTATACTAACCTTTGCTTTAAAAAAAACAGAAGCACATGAGAACATACTGAAAGTACATAACAAACAATAAGCTAAGAGTGAATTCTCCTATGGGGGAAAATGAAAGACCGCCAATTCCTTGACCAGTCCAACAAGCCTGTGTAGAATACAAGATGGCTACTAGGATAATTAGGTATATAAACTGGTATGTTGAATGTTACCAAATTATTGAGTAGGTACAGAACACGAACACACATGCACACACAAACACACACACGCACCTCTTGTAAACACATCTTAAGAAAAGTGTTAATAGCACTTGAATTTCAGATTTCAGAAAATTTATGAAAAATCTACGCTAAGTACTCTTTAACAATTGAGACTAGCTTTTATTTATTGTCTCACATTTGACTTATTTGGTTGACACAGTTCTATGATAATACATCTAAAAATAAAAGTATATTAATTAAGATGTCCACTGAAATGTAAATGAAAAGAATAACCATTTTGGAAAGCAAAGCCACTTTTCACTATTTGCACTAAAGAGTTTTTAAAAACTTGTCCCCGCAGTCAACACAATAAATTTGAAAATGAATACATAAGAACAAACTAATGATTCTTTATTTTTTATTTTTACTTCTTTAAATATTTATGTTTTTATTTTGAAAGAGAGAGAGAGAGAGAGAGAGAGAGACCGGGGGAGGGGCAGAGAGACAGGGAGACAGAGAATCCCATGCAGGCTGTGCGTTGTCAACACAGAGCCCAAAGTGGGCTCAATCTCATGAACCAAGAGATCATGACCTGAGTCAAAATCAAGAGTTGGATGCTTAACCAACTGAGCCATGCAGGCACCCCAATTATTTATTTTAAATAAACTCTACTCTCAGTGTGAGGCTCAAACTCACAACCCTGAGATCAAGAGTCCCATGCTCTACCAACTGAGCCAGACAGGTGCCCCAAACTAATGATTTTCATGCAAGTTTGTACACATGTATATACAAAAATATTTAACTTGTGAAGTATTCTCTAAAAATGCAAATAAGAAAGTCCATTATTCCCATATAAATAGTGCTTATTAACATTTTACTCCTTACCCCTCATGGTATGTTTTCTTCTCTCCAGCTCACTATGCATACAGGAATCTCTGTCATTTGATTTGGTTGATAAGAAAAACTCCTTTCCTACTTCCCAAAATTAACTTCTGAATGATAAATGTTAACTATATATGCTCATTACATTTATTTAATTATTATTAAAGGAACTATATGAACTAATAAGCAACAACCTATTCATTCTAATATTCATGCTTTACACACACACAAACTCACACACACACACAAGCAGCAAATGGAAACTTAGACGTTTATACCAGATGCCAAGCTTTCTGCCTGATGCCAACTAAGAATAAATTTTATATAAGTATGCATACTTATATAAATGTAGTCATTTTTAACAAGATAAGTTAGATCCAAACATATCCATGCAATTACAGATTCACATATGAAAAATAAACATGTGCATATATATTCATATATATTCACATTTACATGTATAGAATATGACATAGAGATGCCAATTTACTCTCAGATGCCAACTGGAAACAAGACTGTAAGTATATACTTAGATAATCTTGTATCTTGATAAACATATATGTTTATGAAGATAAACAGAAAAATGTATGGAGTACATTTTTTAAATGAGGTGAACTCCTTATGTCTTGGATATATTTTGAAATTTCTTTTCCAGCTCTTTGCTCTTCCTGCGCCCTTTTCCATTACTCAGTTTTTTTATTTGCAATATTTAGAAAAAGCAAGCTTTATAAAATGCCACCTGAGATCAAAGGTCATTATTGTGAGGAGAAAGGTAATCATTTCTCAATGCTTGTTAGCACTAAAAATTAATTAGATAATGCAAATATGAGAAAAACAAAGAGCTGGTTTTCTTTACTAATACAACCTGTCACAAAATACAGCACCGGGATGTGTGTGTATTATTATGCACACATTGAGACCAGTATGTATCTCTATACATAAGTCTAAAGACCATTCACTGCTGCAGGGTAAAGGTAGGGGGGCATCTTTTAAAAATTATTTCTCCCTTATATTAAGATTTATGAGGTCATGAAGCCTAAAAATGGTTTGTTGGGAAATCACCTACAATGTGTGAGAAAACAGGAAAACCACCGGTGCATTAATTAGAACAAATTATCAAGGCATCCACAAGAAGCTTGAAGTGAGTTTCCTCTAAACGTTATTTCAGGATTTAAAAAGTAATAAGACTCCTTAGTGTCCCCCACAGGTCACACAAAGCAGAAGATGTATGCCCAACCTCCTGCCTGATTTTCAGTGGATTTAGTGGAAATTTACTTGATATCTGGACTGGGTTCTTTTTCACCAAGATGGGAAATGCAACACTGTTTGCTTTCATACCTAAAATATTGTTTAAATTATAAATTTTTTTATTAAGTCTGTACTAATTTGGGGACATAACTTCTCTAATCCTGTCAACGAATGAGGTCATCTTTGTAAGAAGACTTTTATTTCATTTAAAAAAAATTTTAGGGGGCACCTGGGTGGCTCAGTCGGTTGAGTGTCCACCTTCAGCTCAGGTCATGATCTCACGGTTTATGGGTTCGCGTCCCGCAACGGGCTCTGTGCTGACAGCTAGCTCAGAGCCTGGAGTCTGTCTTCAGATTCTGTCTCTCTCTCTCTCTCTCTCTCTCTCTCTCAGAAATAAATTTAAAAAATTTTTAATGTTTTTTATTTATTTCTGAGAGAGAGCGTGAGCAGGGGAGGGTCAGAGAAAGAGGGAGATACAGAATCTGAAACAGGCTCCAGGCTCTGAGCTAGCTGTCAGAACGGAGCCTGATGCGGGGCTTGAACCCATGAACCGTTGAGATCATGACCTGAGCCGAAGTCGCAGACTGAGCCACCCAGGCATCCCAGAGGACTTTTATTTCAAATGGTGTGGGAATTCAGCACACCAATGTGAGGGATTAAGCACCCTGCCTAGCTACCTTCGGGTTATATAAATTCAAGAGTCCCAGCTGGGGAATCACACTCTTGATGAGATTACAGTGACTTTCTGGATCTCAGTGATGCTTGCAGGAAATCATTATCCTGAGTGACAGGAAAGCCAGATTCCCCAGGAAGAGAAGGCAGTGGAGAGATAAAGAATAGAATTGAGTTGATCAGCATTGTTTAAGGCAGCCTTTGCTGCTCATGCAGGTGCAAACACTGACAAAAGCAGCCTGCTCCCAGGAGGACTGTGGAGAAACCTGCAGGCCTCAGTTCTCCTTCCGGTATTGCTGTTAAGCGTTCTGTTCCAGAGAAGTCATCCCTATGAAAGCCAGAGCCACGTACAGAACACCTTAAACTAATGAGTTTAGAGGGATGGCTTCTGTTTCCCTCCTAAATAACTTTAAAAAGCAATGATATTTCCCTGAATAAGAGAATGATATAACCCAAACCCAAGTACAGTTTACATTGATGTTAAAAAATGAATACCAAAAATTATCAATCTGTCTCTGGCCATGGTATATTTAAGTTCTGTTAAATCAGCAATGAAGAAATAATTAACCTAAAATAAATAAAACTACCAAAAGCTGCCACCTTAGGAATCTGAGTATTTTGGGGGTGGGGGGGCACCTGGGTGGCTCAGTCAGTTGGGTGTCCGACTTCGGCTTGGGTCATGGTCTCGGGGTTTGTGGGTTCGAGCCCTGCATCCGGCTCTGTGCTGACAGCTCGGAGCCTGGAGCCTGCTTGGGATTCTGCGTCTCCCTCTCTCTCTGTCCCTCCCCCACTCGTGCTCTGCCTCAAAAATAAATAAAACAGGGGCGCCTGGGTGGCTTAGTCGGTTAAGCGTCCGACTTTCGCTTAGGTCATGATTTCGCGGTTCGTGGATTCGAGCCCCGCGTCGGACTCTGTGCTGACTGCCAGCTCAGAGCCTGGAGCCTATTTCAGAGTCTGTGTCTTCCTCTCTCTCTGACCCTCCCCTGCTCACGCTGTCTCTCTCTCTCTCTCTCTTAGAAATAAAATAAAAATATTTTTAAAAAATAAATAAAATAAATAAAACAAAAAAATTTTTTTAAAAAGAATCTGAGTATTTTTTTTCTTTTATTGTGCCTGCTGAGCAGTCACATGAACTGTGTATCTTCAGGCTGAGCATGCATCTACACACTCTTGCTTAGAATATGGCAAGTCTAGGGGCGCCTGGGTGGCTGAGTCAGTTAAGTGTCCAACTTTGGCTCAGGTCATGATCTCACAGTTCATGGGTTCGAGCCCCTCTTTGGGCTCTG